TTAAAGTAGTTTGTAAATTATTTAAAATTTAAAAAATCCACATAATCATCTTTTACATGATGGATTTTCCACCTAATATTGAAAATGTAAAATAGTCAATCACTTAGCAAAAAAATTAGCTACATCAACATTTAATTGACAGGAAGACAAAATTGAAAATTGAAGTTGAAGGATATTTTTGGTACTTTTTGAAGTTTAAAGATGAATTGATTCAAAAATAAAAATTAAGGGACCAATTCAAATATTTAACCTAAAAAAATATGTTAGACCATCAACATCCCTATTCAATTAATCCTTAAATAAAAAAATTTGAAAGTTAACATCCTTAAATAGAAAATGTTGAAAGTTGACATCTTTATTTATAAACTAATAAAGTTACCATCCTTAAAAAAAAATTAAAAGTTAACATTTTTATTAAAAAAAATTAAAAATTAATATTTTTATCAAAAAAAATTAAAAATTAACATTTTTATTTAAAAACTCACAAAATAAAATTTATTAAATAGAAAAAAGTGCAAAATTGTACCTTAACTCACCGACTTCCTGCCAAACTTCCAAAACCAGAAAAAGGGCAAAGGAAAAAATTGAAATTTTGAAAAATCTAAATAATACGCGACGTTTCGCCTTCCTCTTTCTTCCTCCTTTTCTTCCCTGCTACGCAGTTGCTACAGAGCCAAAGTAAATACGAGTAAACACAAAATTAGGGTTTCAGAGATCGAAAATGGAGGTTACAGAGAACATCAAAGATTCCAACAACACTAGCAGTGTCGTCGATTCCTCTGCGGATAGTAATGATATCAACAAAGAAAACGAAGAACGCCAGGCGCGGGACCTCAAAGCCGGTTTGCATCCTCTCAAGGTATCGATTTCACTCTAAATCTAACATCTTTCGCTTTGATTGAAAAATATTTCACTTTTTGATTTTTCTTTCCTTTTCCTGTTTTTCATGGCTGTTGTGTTTTTCTAGATTTAGGTGCTGTTTGCCTGGCATTTAAGTCGTGCCTTTTAGATAGATCTGTCTGATATTCATCGTAATTGGTAGTTTTGCTTTAAGCATTTTCATTGTGAAATTGACTAGGTTTTTGTTGAATCTTTGAGGTATGTTTAGAAATCAACAGAAGGGGAAATTTATGATTAAATGGCCATCATTGACTAGGATGAGGAGCCTGTTTGACTTGGCTGAAGTTTTTGTAGAAGTGGTGAATCATGAACTTATACAAGATAATTATTTTATGAATAATTTAGGAAATTCATAAAATTTATCTTCATCAATCTCAGAAGTTTCCTAGCAAAAGCTTTACTTCAGAAGCTTCTAGAAGGCTAGAAGCTAAAATCAGCTGCTATGAAAGCCTGAAGTACTTCTAAAAGATAGTTGGTTTGGTCTGGCTTTTTGCTGTAGCTTAGGATGCTCTTCCAGAAGGAGGTTCAAATGGGTTTGAAGATGCTGAACTAGTTGTAGGTTGGTCAATGATCATTATGCCATACCAACCTGAAGAGATAGCACTGTGTAGTAGCTTCTGCAAAATTTGAATTGAAGTTAAGATGGAGATGGTTAAATGAGTTCTTGAAAGAATTTTTCTCTAGTTGACTGGATTCTGTGTAATTTATAGCATGCACAAGCTATACAATGTTAATCTGAAATAATGTTCTGAATCTCTTGTCTGGAGACATTGGCTCATATGTTTTGAGCTAGTCAGAGGCTGCATACTAGGTATTTAAATCCAGAACTTGCACTCAGAGTGTTGCATATATTATACCTGGGTGTTTGTTTTATGTTGCCATATTTCTTTCTCTACTGTATCTTTTGAGATCTAGCTTGTCTTAATACCTTTTCTTTTGGTATATAGAATAGAATCATATGATATGCCAATACTTATTTTTCTTTTACTTTTACATTCTGCATATTAGCACAAGTATGTATTTTGGTACACTCGTCGAACACCTGGATCACGACAAACATCATATGAGGACAATATCAAGCAAATTGTGGATTTCAGTACTGTAAGTTACAATTACCGAAGGAGACCTATGTGCAATTGGGCTTAAGTTCTGACCATGGTATGGATTATATTTTTGGTGCATTTTTGGAAATGAGGGTTGACTTTTGAGCATTTTTGGTATATAGGTTGAAGGATTTTGGGTCTGCTATTGCCACTTGGCTCGCCCTTCTTCTTTGCCGAGTCCAACAGATTTGCATCTATTCAAAGAGGGCATTCGCCCATTGTGGGAGGTAGGTATCTATAACTTGGCTTTTACCCTCTTCGTCTGTCAAATTTAAGCATTTCTGGTGAACTTAGAAAGCTATCCAGCACAATGCAGTAATTTTCATATAATTTGTTGTTGCTCAGGACTCAGCCAACAGCAAGGGTGGTAAGTGGATAATACGTTTCAAAAAGGTTGTTTCAGGTCGCTTTTGGGAAGATCTGGTAAGAAGGATGACTGACTATGATATAAAATGTGTTTATATATATATATATATATATACTTTTTCTTTTGATGTAACAATGCTGGGATGGGGAAGGGAAGTTGGAATATGGGACCTTCTAAACTTTGAGCATGTTCTTGTACTGGACCTTTGTCTCATTGGCTACAAATGCTCCTCTATCATTAGTGTCTAAAACAATGCTTTTTGCTTGGAACCAGAGTTGCCACTTACCAGAAAATGGCAGTTTTCCAGCATAGTTTTGCACTATTAGTGACAGAATTCATTCATCTTAGAATTGGAACTGATTTTGTTATTCCCTTCTTCGTCTGTGTGCAGGTTCTTGCCTTAGTAGGTGATCAGCTTGATTATGGAGATAACATATGTGGTGCAGTGTTGAGTATCCGTTTCAATGAGGACATATTAAGTGTGTGGAATCGAGATGCATCTGATCATCAGGTTAGTATTTTGTAGTTCTCAATTTTTTGTAGTTCTCTCCCTTTCTGTCAGTCCCACATTTCCTGAACTTGTTTAATCTGTAACAGGCTGTGATGGCCCTTAGAGATTCAATTAAAAGGCACTTAAAGCTCCCACACAGCTATGTTATGGAATACAAGCCTCATGATGCTTCTCTGCGTGATAATTCATCATATAGAAACACATGGTTGAGAGGGTAGAGATCTCTGAGATGCTCTGATTACCTAATAAGATCATTAGCATCTCAGAAACCGTTGCTCTAGATCACTGCTTCATCAGAAGTTCTTTCTCTGATCAAATTCGTTAATCCTGCATGATGAAATGAGAACCATGTGAGTGTTGTAGGTAAAAATCCTTCAGATAGAACATTAACACTACCATCTGATGATTCTAAGTTGAAGGTAACAATGCTTTTATTTTATAAATGAAATACTGTTACTTTCCTTGGATTAGGATATTATTTCTCATTAACGAGTTGATATGCAAGAAAGCTGTGGAAATTCATACCCATGGTTTCGATTCAGCACAATTTGCTAAAACTTCATGTCATCCTTGTTTTGAGTTCTTCGCGTGTTGAAAACTGCCACCCCTAATGCAAGCTTCTTTTTCTCGTCTTATATTTTTCTTCAATGTTGAGTTGCATGATAAAGAGTTAAGTCTATTCTTTCTTATTTGCTTCAGTTAGGAGGAAATTATTAATGAATCACTTGAGTTTGTTCTTTCTTTTCTTTTCTTTTCTTTTCTTTTCTTTTCTTTTTTTTTTTTTTTTTTTTTTTTTTTTTTTAATTAAAGTAAAAAGTTCAGTTTTAGCCTTTTAGGGCGAGGAAAGGGTATCCATTTCAAGGTGAGGGCATATCCACGGGGGATGGTTGATGGTGGACTCGAGCTTAAGAACTGGGCATCAAAGGGTTTAAACTTTACTAACTGAACCAATTGCAATGGATTCAAATTTAAAGTCTTTTACTTGGCTTGTTGCTTTAATTCCTAGTTTTTCGAGGGTGCTTAAAGCATGCTTTCCATTTTTAATCCTTGCGGGGGCTCTTTCTACCATTAAAAAAAAAATTTTTTCCTAGCCAGGCTCTATGGGATTGGAAAGTTCTTTGCAATTTTCCCTCTCACCTTGTCTTGTGGCACAGATCGCAAGGGGCTCTACAAGAAGCAAGAAAAATTACCATTCCTAATTATCACGAAATTATTTTGGTTGTTGGCAACTCGAACTTTCAAACTACGGCTCCACTTAATATTTGTATGTAATTTTTGGTTTTTAATTTTAATTTTTATAAATTTTGTAAGTATTAAAAATGAAAACTTAAAATAAAAAATTAATAATTTATTTAAGATAAGTTTTAACTCTAATAACAATAAATATAAATTTGCTTAATAGTATTTGTTTTCTCAAAAATCCTCAAGTGTTTTTACACAAGCAGAATTTAAATGTGAACGCGTCACTTACTTTTTTGAAAAGTAAGAAAAAAAAAAAGATTTTCCTAACGATCCTTTTTTTTCACACGGTCGACCTCCATTAGGATGACTGGAATAATGTTGGTTTAAGACTGAGTTTTGCGCTTTTCAGGCAATTTGCAAGAGGAAGGTATGTTTTGCTGCAGAATGGGTTACTAATCTGCCTTGGATAATCTCAAGGACTTTATTAATATCATGAATTTAAGTTAATAAATCCAAAATGAACTGAATGAAATGTAAATTAGAGTAAACTTGATGTTTATTATACGAAAGGAAATCAAAGAAGTAATTACACAAACTAATTTGAATACTTGAATGCTGAAAACAACTTAAATGCTGAAACAACTTAAATCTACTGGAATCTGTGGTAAAACTAAAATATGAAAGCTAAGATGAGCAATCACTATCAAACTAAAGAATTGAAAAATTGATGAGTTGTTGTGTAGGGCTAGCCATGTCTGTTCAAAAATCAGAAAACTTCTATTTGTATTCTTCCTGCAAATTGTCTCTTGGCTGATCAGATCACGGATAACTTCCTCTCAAATTCTAGCGATTTCTGTTCCCTTTAAATTCTAGGGATTTCTATTCTTTTTAAATTCAAGCTGTAACAAACCAGATAACCTTTATCCTCCCAACCAATTTTATAGATATACATCCCTTCAGTAAATTTGATCTCACCTTATCTATTGACACATGGCATTGACACGTGGCATCACTTAAAAAATGTAATTTATGGTGGAAACAATATTATAATTATTTTTTGTTATTATTTCTCTAATAATAATAATTATTTTGTATGTCAAATAATAGTTAGCCCTCACCCATCTCAAAATTTAACTTGAGATCTCTAACATGAAAATTCAAGTCTTTAACCATTGAGACATCTCCTCAAGAACTACTAATCATGATAATATATAGGAAAAATACATAAAAAGAAATGAACTTTTTGTTTAGAGTTGTAAAATTTATAAAAATCAATATCAAAAACCAAAAACCACAAACATACTAAAAGGAGTCTAAGGAAATTATGATTGAATTACAAATTTATTGGCATGTTGAATTTGCTTAAAAAATGGCTTTTCATCCTCACACAAATACATTGCAAATGGAGAGACAAGCATTGAGAGAGTTTTTCCCTTTATAAAAACCAACTTGACTCCTAATTAGTTAGGGTTTAATATAGCTTCTAGATACCTAAAGATTTAGTAAAAAAAATTGTAAAAGAACTAATTTAAAAACCTATTTTTGATTCAACAATTTAAAAAACTTTTTTTCCTAAGCAATTTATAAGTGTAATTAGACTAGCAAATCAACATAATATAATCTTATAGTAAAAGATTAGTCAAGTCGATGCACACTAACTAAAATATCATAATTTGGAGTACAATTAAGATTCAAACCCTCATATTGTTAAATAACTAACATTGATGTAATAATAATAATAATAATAATAATAGTAATAATAATAATAATAATAATAATAACATAAGATAGACTTAAAACTAAAATTTTAGGCTTCATTTTAATATGGTTGTTTTTTTTGTTTATTTTATTTTATTTTATTTAAAATTTTGTAACTTTGGACAAAAAACTCATTTAGTTTCATGTATTTTTACAGTATATTAGCATAATTATTAGAGAAATAAGAACAAATATTTGTAGTTTTAATAATATTGTTAAACAAGTTCATATTTTTAATTCTTAGTTTTAAGTTTTAGCGCTTACCCATCTAACCAGGAACTTGCCACCACTGAAGGCAAAAACAGAGCACAACACCACACACAAAACTTTGCAAGTAGGGGATGACAAGAAAAAGAGGAGATGAGAAGAAGAGACCTTAGTCATTGGCAAAAACCTGTCTCTAGAGACACATTGTCGGCAAATAGTGGACAAACCATCTTATGGGACCCTAAGGACTAAATACTAACTCTCTTTTTTTTTTTTTGTGGTTCTGTCACCTTTTTAGTTAAAATAGGGGGTGTTTGGATTATAATTAGTTCAAATGCAATAAAAAATGGGTAGTTGATATCTTATTGCCCATAACAATTGTGTTTATAATGCAAAAATTTTTATTGGTAGTGATTTTTTCACAATGAAAGAAATCCATTGTAAAATTTATAATGTCAAGATGGCATCAAATAAGTAGATTATACATATAAACCGTGTGTCTCACCTTAAATTAAAAGAACCAATGTAAATGCTTACCAAAGGAAAAAGTACCAATACAAATTGTGTAACATCATGTTACAAGTTGTAAGATTTCATTGTCAATAAACATTGACAAAAATCATTTTCCTATTTTTTTATCCGATTAATCCAAATTGCTAACCATTAACCTCAGACCTTTTATAACACACTTTCAAATTGTGTTTTTCTACTTTATCCTTCCAAGATGAGAGATTTTGCCCCTTAACTAGGGCTGTTGTTGTGCACCTTCATATTTTGACTCTTTATTTTTGAATTATCATCTGTTTAACCCATTATTGTAAATAGCATCCTACTAATATCTTTTTGCTTTGGATGTTTTCCCTTAATTTGTTTTAGATATGTGTTTTAAAATCCCAAAAAAGTTTTGCCAATCCTCTTCTACTTCCTTTTCTCCAAAATCCTCTACAATAGATTTCACCTTTACACCCTTGTTTAAAGCTAATCGCTAGCGTTCTCTTGGCCTTAGTGGCTCAAGTTGCATTTGTTTTGATTAAAGGAGTTCAATCTTATGGCCAACTAAGGTTCCTATGTCTTCATCAGTCTAATTTCAATTGAAATATTTGGTTTAAAGGATAATAACAGTGATTTTTTTACTAGATTATTTGATTGTTACAAGTAATTTCTTTCTCAAATGAATTATTTGTTCCTTTTTTTAAAAAGCTATCTCTTACTATTAGATTCCCAATTTGGTTGCAAAGATATGGAATACTATATGTTGAGTTGATACTTATATAAGTATCTTTTTGAATTCACTTAGTAGATTTTATGTTAGCTATCTTGTTTTACAATATTGTTAGATGTATTGGGGATTGGGGAGTGAGTATACAATTATCTCTTTGTTGTGTTATAGATTTGATTGGGAGGTTGCTTATGTGTTTTGATTGCCTTAAGTCTCGTCATCATAATCTATTTAAAGATTAAATTGGTTCATTAATTAGAAAATAATTTTGAGCATAATCAAATTTTTAGCAAGATAAATGGTTCCTCCTCTTGTTTTAGTGGTTCTCAGAATAAAGAATGCCTAGATTTGGAAATTGTTAATGGGGACTCTTTTTCTAATGCATTTACACTCTTAGAGAATGATATTCTTTTCATTTTAAAAAAAAAATGATATTGGGTGTTTAGTTGAGAATTTGGTGTTAAAGAAACCATAAGAAGAGTTGCTTTTTCTATCCATTTTGGTGTTGCTAGTTTTAGTGTCTTCTATTTTTTGAATAATTTGAGAAGAGATAAGAATGGCTTTGTTTTGAAGGTAGGCTAGGGTTGTGGAGAATGATGAATGGACATGTCACTACTCTTGGCATGGTTTTTCCTAACTTACCCTTAAGATAGTCCTTTGGCTTGAAGCTTAATTTGGAAATGCCAACATTAGCATTCAAGTTATTGAAGACCATCAGTTTGGAGATGCCAACATTAATTTGAAGTTGCCACCATCAAACCTTCCTCATTTTCCTTGTTGATAGTTGTTTCAAGTTGGTTGCTAGTGGGTTTTTCCATAGAGTGCAACTAAGAGACTTTGAATTCATCTTATGCCCTTTCTCATCCTCTTTCTACAAGAGGAAAACTGATCAAGTTATAGAGGACCTTTAGTTTGGCAAGGTTGTGTCACAAACACATTCTAGGACTTCTCCTTTCTTGAGTAAAGTTTGGTAGGATCTTTTTATCCAATTAATGTTGTTATTTATGCTTTTGTTCTTGTTCTGTCTTGGTTATGTTTATGCTTTGGTTCTAACCTTCTTTGTTTTGTAAGAAATTTAATGATTAATAAATGGGGTAAATTTTTTTATGAAAACAAAAACATCCTTTTAAATTGAAATTTTGGAGTAATAGAACAAAGCTTGGCAAAACAAAAGATAACAAAAGGAATGTGATATGGAGAACACAAATGTGATAATCATAATATTTGATATCCTACAAACTATATAGGATTTAAGTGGAAGATTTGCTTGCAATTGTTATTTTAAGTGAAAGGATAAAAGAATTCAATAATATAATTATTTGTAATGAAACTTAGTAACACTTTATGTACCAAATTATGATTAATACAATATGAAAAAGAAATCAATACGCCGATCAAAAAAAAAAAGAAAAAGAAATCAATACAATATAGTTTAGAAAATCAATAAGATTTATAACATTAGTAGTAATTGAGAAGACTAATGACTAATATAATCAATACTAAGAACAGTTTGACTAACTAAAAACTTTGATTTATGGTCAAGATTAAGGATTTAAACCTTCACAATGCTAAACAACTAACTTTTGTTATACAAAAAAAAAAAAAAATCTAATATAATTAATTAGTATAAAGTTATAAATGATTAACTGAATAACAGGCTCAATTGTAATAATTTAACTACAATAATAAACACATCTTTTTTCAATGATTATGCACAATAAGTTAATTAACTAAATTATTGTTATAACGACTAATTAAAACAACAAAGTTAAATTAAGATTTACTTAAAAAAGGAATACCATCATCGTTCATTAATTAGAAGTTATGAAAATTATAAAGAAATACAACCAAATTAACTTATTAAAACATCGTTGTAACAATTAATTGAAAATTATTAGTTAGTGTAAGAATAGTGTAAGTGAATCATGCTTCTTTTTGGCTTATTAAAATTGGCATTACAATAACAACAAAAAAATATAGAATTTAATCATAAATGGTATAACAATTTAGATTTCGTTTAGCATTGTTGTGATTTCTAATATTTGTTTTAGTTTTATAAATTACTTAAGTTTTTAGTTTTAAGCATTAATTATAAAGTTTTAAACCTAATAAGTTGACATTTTTAATTTTTAACTGCTAATTTTGAGTATCTGAGGCTTTTTTAATAATGTTGCCATTATCTAGCTTTTGTTTTGGTTGTAAAAAATTTAACAATATTCCGTACTAAATTAGAATAAAAACTTAATAACTTCAAAAAAAAATTTAATTTTATTTATCAAT